ACGTGTGCGTAATGCGTTATTAACTTATTATCAATATGAAGAAAGAGTAGAAACGATATCAAACACTTACATATTCAGCAATAAATATTAGATTAAAAATATTTGCACTATTCCAAGAAAAAATAACGTACAACTGATTTTAAAAAAATTCGTTATCCTTTACACAATTATATAATTTGGCCTTTGTGTATTTTTTAATATTATGATAAATTCCCATAAGTTAAAGTTAAAGGAAGTCCAAATGTTGCTATACATTACATAAATAGATTATATTCAATTAAATAAATAATTATTATTATTTTATAAAAACGTATTTACGAAAAATTCTTAAAATAATAAATTTTGAGCAATAATATTACACCAGTTTATAATTAGGGAAAAGTGGAGACAATCGGACAGTCAGAAGATATTGGCAATACCTCGATAACTCGGAATATTTCGAAATGGTAACTTTAAAACTTTTGGGATATTGGAAATTGGAATCTTACACTGGCAACACGACTCAAAACTTTGTTTGCCTTTAAAGAAGCAAGAACAAATCGAAAAATATATTTATTTATATACATGATACTGAAGATACTAGTTTTTTTTCATATATAAAATATTTTAAAACTAAGTTGCCAGTATGCCAAAACCGTGTAATAACACCTAACAACATTCATGCTTGATAAAGTTTTATGGGGAATTAGGTATATTTTATGAAAATCTTTGTGAGTTTTTTGTATTCTGTTGATTTTTAACACATATTTAAAATTTTCTACCCGACCCTAAGGTTTGATTAATATATTTTATAAGACCGTTTTACAACTAATACTAAAACAAATGGAAGATCTTTTATGAAACAATTTTTTTATGGAAATTCAAGTTAAAAGTATTTTTGTAAGTGTCCGATTATCCCCACTTTCCTTTATATTATGTGATTCCTCATATTAAAAAAAGTATTTTGTAATTATTATATAGTCTCAGGTAGCTAAGCTAAATAGAATTAGAGTCTGTTTTAAGGAAAAAGTCCCGAGGAAAATATGCAAACTAAAATCTAAAGTATGGAACTTGAAGACTGGTGCAGCGTATAAGTGAGATCTGTATTGAAAAAGATTATTTGTAAGCCATTGTTTTGATCTGAGATGATAATCTCAATAAACACAATTAGATTTATTATTCAAAATAATTTAACACCTAAACTTATATTTTAAACAATAACACTAACAAAGTAATCAAAGTAAATACTAACTTTTTTTCTAAAAAGACTGAGGAATAGGCTATTATAATGTGTACGTATCTAGTGTACACTGTCTTTTCAAATCTAAAAAAGTAAAGTAAGGACTTCTTTAAATTAAAAATGTAATTATTAATTAGATCTAGAAGCAATAATTTAATACCAAGCTTAAATATTTATTTAATAAAATTATAAAATAAAATTTTAATCACTAAATTTTAAGTTAACAAGGACGGTTCAAGCAACAACATAATCATATATTTAAAATATATAAAAATATAAATTCTTGACGAAATGAACTCTTAAAATTATTTATAAAGATTCAAGAACAGAAACAACGCCAATAGTGTAATTTGAAATACACAAATGTGTATTTCAAAATATAAAATTCGTTTTATAATTACTGTTTTTGGTAAAAATTAACTACAGAGTGCCATCAAGTTCGCATTTTTGACAGGTAACATATTAGATAAGCACCACATTATGATGTATAAACTAAATGACAATCCAAAAGTAGAAAAAATTCCAGATCTTAATTTCATAGTTACTTAATGTTATAAAATAATATGGTAAGACCTAAATCTAAAATTATAGATTTTTTTATAAACATTGGAATGTATGTATGCAGAGAAAGTTACTACTTTCTCAGCCCTTGTTTTGATTCAGAACTCGCAGGGTCTTAGACTTGAATTTATATTATGCAAAACAAAACATATATGTGTTAAGTTTTGCTTGTAAGTAAATTTTGTTTGGGGTACAAAAAAGTTTATAGAAAATTAGGTGATTACATTACATATTATTGTATATGCTGTATTTCATACTGGTCTGTATATTTTTATTTTAAAATCAATCATCTGTTTAATACAATAACCAAAACAAAAATGCATTTTAAATGAATACATTAGCAAGCCTCCGTCACTCGCTCAAGGCCCTGCGTTATATGCCTACCGTTCTGCGTATCGTCCACGATACAACCGACATTGGACTGCCGCACGCCCGCCTGAGCCCTTGCACCGCGCACGTTTCCCGCGCTTACTCGTCGAAATCCCGAAACCACATAATTATTGTGCAGTGGTGGAGTCAAAAACAAATGAAAAATTATCATTTTTTTCTTAACTATAAGATTACATCGAAGCAACAACATAACAGTGCTGTGATTTATAAACTGAGTGACAACCTGGACACCCAAATTATATAATAAATAAATTATATAATAAGTCTTAAATAATTTTGACAACGCCATAATGAATCGGCCTGGTAGCAGTGTGTTACAAATTTTACAAACCATTGATTTTCCTCCGCTTTGCTCCTGTTTTCCTCGTGATTATTTATTAAAATTATTTACGCGATTTGGGATATTTTCAACGATAAGATTTAATAACCGAGAATTTTAAGATTTTGTTGGCTATTATAGCGTAGGTATTTTCGCTTTTGTATGGGAGTGATGTATCTGTTTAGTAAACTATTAAGTAATCTGTGACATTAGTAAGACCAGATAAAGTGTTCTATTCAATTTTACATATGATATTTTAAAAAGTTAAGATAAAAGTGTTAATATTTTGGGCTATGTTAATTTATGCAAGATAAACTACTTATATATTTTCATAATACTGTAAACATTTATAGAATGTAATTTGTAATCATTCAAAAACTTCTGTACTGTTTCTTTTAACTAATAAAATAACAGTACAAAAGTGTCTGAATAAATGTCTAATACTTAACTCTAAACATATAAGTTTTTATTAACATCAATCGGAGTCCAAATAATCAAGCCAAGTCGGATTGGTTCGTATACATGAATTACAGTTATATAGTTTTAACTACTGCCATTAATACATTAATTTTATAACATGTAAATGGATATCAATTTAATATTTTGTTCTTTATAACGTCAAATACTCATAATATATATGAATAATAAATACGTATAATATAGAAACCTCAATGTTGATAACTTAAGTTGTGGAAATAAACAAGATATAGTTTATCAAGATGCAACAAGTGAAACGGCATGATATATTAAATAATAGATTTGCTTTTTCTAACTTTTTCTTTAATTCTATACAAACTAAATTTGAAACATTTTGGTAAAAATCTAGGTTATGTGATACGTCCTATCTTTGTATGATAGCAATATGTCATTCATTAAATAAAACTGTTCTGTGTAAGATATGTAAATACGACTTCGATAGATATGCTGTAAACCATGGACTAAAATACACTATTTGTTAAAAGATCTCTAGAAATAATTGTGTTGTAAATATTGTATTTAATATTTTTTTATATTACCATTATTCACGATCCACTAAAATTTTTATTTTTAGACCACTTGTCGTAAGTAAGGTTTCGATAAAGATAATAAAAAAAAACATATCAGGGTAATATTGTATAAATTATACATAGGTAGATATAATAGATATGCATAAATATTTGACTTTGCTTTCATTTTGAGATTTGTTTAAATTTATAGAAAAATGTAAGTACTTACCTTATATAATCTCAACAAATATTATGCTTTTCAAATATTTAAATGATTTTGACTAGAAGTCTTTAATATTTATAAAATAATTAGCAAAATAAATTGAAACTAAAAAAAAATGCCGCTTGACAAACGTCATTTTTTTGCGTCGAATTGATATTTTTTTTAATTTTGTCGAATAAATGAACATGAATACAATATGAACCTGAAAAAAACCGAAAGGACAGGATTGTGCCAAATGAAAGTGTTTAGTCTCTGCCTATCCCTCTGGGTGACATGAGTGAGAGTTTATTCATATACATAATAAAAACTTGTTTATGTTCTAACTGACGAAACTGTCAGTGTGGTAGTGAATATTCGTACACCACCACCATTCGATCAAGAAAGAATAAAATTATTAATAGATATTTTTAAATTTTTGCACAGCAGGTCAAGAGCAACATATAACGCGACTATATTGTCGTTTGTTTAATATAACGATAGTATAACACAATTACTACTATGACCTTAATATTATAGTAAAATCGTGTAGAGTTATATTTTAAAATTTCTCCACAAGTAAAATTTATAATTCTAATTTCTTAGAATAATATAAATATTTTTATATTCTTGTTAAATATATAATTGGACAGACGATAAATTGATTTAAAAAAATAAAGGGATATTTTTTCAAGAATTGGATAACTATTGATTGAATTATATTAGATATATGCAACGCAGTGCAGGATTATAGTAATTAGGAAATTTTTATTTTCAATCACAGTAATATAGATATTTTGTTTTCGTCAGACAATTGAACTGACAGTCATTTGTTTGAATAAATATTAGAAAAAAATTGTTATTCGCTTAAATATAAAGGATAAATGCTATTTGAAGAAATTTAAAGAAAACGAAATAGAATTCTATACACAGCAGTTTTGCAAATATCATTTATCATTTGGCACATGTATTAAAAATAAGCTAACAGATTTATATGTACTGAAAAAAAAATTGGTAGGTACAGCTGTACTTAAGTACAATACATTTTTGGAAATTGTATAAAACTTGCATCATATAAATGGATTTAATAAAAAGAGATTTATAAAAAAATCTTAAAGGTTCCTTTTTAAATTATATCTGTATCAGATCACTAATGAGATGTTTAAATTAATAAGAGATTTATGGTAATATTCCATAATTGCCGTTTGTAATGAACATTATAAGTTAAAAATTATATAAACATTAAAACAGCATTTTGATACTTTAAGGCTAACAAAATTAAATTAGTGTTAGGTACTTAGTTTATTTTTCTTCACGTAATCAATCTTACAGTGTGCTGGCTTCGCCGTCCGGTATAACGTTGAATCCTTCTGGTGCGTTTTCCCAGTAGTAGTAGGGAGGTCCGTTTGTAAAGCAATATTTCCTATTCAGTGGCGTATCGTTTTCGACATAGTACATTAGATAGAAGTTGCACATTTCATCGTTGTTTGTCGGACTGAAAAAAAAACAATACAATATAAATTTAAGTACGCGTAACAACTAGTTAATTTGAAGGCGGGAAAAACAAAAAAGTTGTAAAAAAGTATTTATGAATTTCATTGCGTTGGTATTATAAAATTAAAAAGTACACCTGTATACGTTCCTCTTCTGGGCATCAGCGAAATAGCCTTCTCTAAACACTGCGATTCGACGGTAGGACGTAAAAGTTCACGGCTGGACATAGACTTCCCTAGTTGTAAAATGCCTTAAACGTCACGTTTGGAATTGTCGATCGCAATGCCAGACGTCTCGATACTTGGACACTGCTTGTCATTTTGTACGCCCAGTATGCACGTGATGGTTATACTGTAAGAATCGGGAACCCCCCCCCCCCTCATTTGTGAGGGTTTTAGGGCAAGTGTCCGCCGCGCTACCCCAATGCGTGTTGGCGAACTTCACATGTCTTCGAATTTTTCTTTTCTTATTTCTCAGATTTCCTCACGATGTTTTCCTTTACCGCCGAGCACGTGGCAAATCAGCACTTAAAATTAAAATTAACAATTTCATTGTTGCCGGCGGGGATCGAACCCAGTTTGCTTGCGTACTGTTAAATTTACAGCGAGCGCTAACCATCTGAACCATCACGGCTCTTCTTAATAATTCAAAAACTTACCCAATTTTCACAGGGTAATCATGCGTGTTGTTCATAGTGCAGCGCGCGGCCAGCACGTCTCCCTTGCGCACGGGCGTCTTGTCGACTACCGGGTAGAACATCTGCGGCAGTTGGGGGTCCTTTTTGCCCAAAAGTTTCCATTCATCGCCATGGTCCGAGCGACGGACAACGTAACCAGAGACAACCTTACCTGTAACAAGCAACAATAAATGAAGATGGTGAGGGTGTTCACCAAGTCGATTTCGACGAAGACGACAACTACTTTTTGTCTATAAAAGTAGCAAACAGCAGACCATGACGACAGTGTATGGATACTGTTGGTACTGTCGGAATTTGAAAGCTGCACAGGAAATATTGAAGTGCTACAAATTCGGCCAAAACAGAGGTACTCGTCTTCATCTAGCCATATCTGTTGTAATTATCTATAAAAATAAATAAAATTGAAGTGTCTGTTTGTAATGTAAAAATAACAGCTTTTTACTAAATGCATATGAAAGTATATACAGCTTTATAACAAAAAAGACATTTTTAAAATTTTCGCGCTACTTCACAGTTCAACGGAGCCGCACGACACAAGTAACGAACCCTCGTTCAAAGTTCAATATTCAATGTTCCGGGTTCACTCGCACGATATCAAAATGCCACGAAGCAAATCGTCGAATCAAATTAATGTCAATCAAGGTTAAGTTAATAATTCAAACTCAATACAAGCCGTCCGTCGCGCAACAATTATTGGTAATCAGTTACTTTAATCACTCAAAACTCAAATTAGGCTTCTTGTCACGTAACACTCAAATAGACACTCAATTCGAGGCGGTATTAAAGATACCCAAATCTTCGACAGTAATTAGGCGCGCACCATACTCAAACTCGGACGTTGATCGCAATCAATGTTAACTTCCAAAACAATTAACCGCCGGGTCGGTCCGCGCAGAAAATCTATTTTCCTAGACTCAACAAAACTCCTCGTCGTTGCATAAATTTGCTAACAAAACCGACACTATATAGAGGTTATACGGTACACGACCACGCCGTTCTAGTGACCGCGTTGCATTAACACTTCCGACGCGCCCTGCTCGCAACCAACCCGATCTCGCGCGAACGTCAACCGGTAGGAAATCACCGCGCTGAGCTGAGCTGCTTGCTGAGCGCTGAGCTGAGCCTGGCGTCAAATCTTGAAATTAGCGTTTGGCGCGAACAATGAATGACCCTATTTTGTTATACAGATTCTCTAAGGCCGGCAATACATATTGGGCAAGCCTCAGCCACCGCGAGTAATGGCAAGGCACGCCAAACCAACCGTATACAGGTTGGCTCTCGCCTGCACTCGGCCAGCTAGGCGAGCAACGAGCAAAGGCGAGGCTAGGCAAATGTTCTGTTCATATGTTGGTACTCGCCTTCGCTCGGTCAACATGTATAGCTGGCTTTAATTTCGGCGTCGTTCATGTATGCGGTTCGTTTTGGGTGCCTTGCCACCACTCGGGATCGCTGGCCACGATTTGTCTCACTTCGGAACAGTGTCGGTTTTTCTGCACAAATCAAAGTGGTCATGTCAGTATTTTCACTCTTCCATACTTGGCCGTCATGTAGATTGTAGCACTCGCCTTGCGTCAATTTGCCTACGCTCGCGTTGGCTGAGGTTTGATCAACATGCATTGCCGGATTTACGCCGCTACACGCCAAACCGTTTTATCGCTAAATCTTGACATATTAGATTCAGGATATCATTGGGGAGTATTCTGGCTGGAAGAACGCCTGCTAAGTTGCCTGGATGTCTTTTTTAGAAGTAGTTTTGTTTAAATATTTTTTGAATAAAAACGTGACGTATTGCAGTTTTAACACACATCATGCAAACACATAAAAAAACGCGCGCATGCGCAAGTGTGCACGCGTGTGTTTTAGCTTTATATAGTAATAAAATCTTACCTAAGGAATGTGTATGCGTTCGAAAAGCGAAGGGATGTATGACCTTGTCTTCCAGTATGGTGCAAGCTGTTTCCATATGCTCAACGTGGTTCGGGAATATATAGCCGCCTGTACCTAGCAAAATCACTCCGGCCTGACGAGGCATACTGTAATGTATAAAAGTTATTTTTAGTATACATGTAAAATTAAATAAATAATAGGCTATCGACAACCGCGACATCTTTCGAAGTCCAATGTCGATCAAATGTCGGACGAACACTGATGTGATAAGTCATTTATCATTACAATAAATAATAATGCAAACTATGTATTCGTTAAATTGTTTCAAACAAGATCGTCGACATATAAGGTAGGCATTTCGATCATTGAGTTGGTTGTCAAAAAAAACCGGCCAAGTCCAAGTCGGACTCGCACATGAAGGGTTCCGTACCATCGTAAACCACATTTCTAGTAGGGGAGCTCCCTTTAATTTTTAATTTATTTTTATTATTTGTTGTTATAGCTAGATTCTTCGAGCTATATGACCGGCAAATTGCAACTATTATGATGTTCGACGTTAATAAATTATAGGAAACGTTATTAAATATAATCGCAAACATGCCAACATACTCCAATACGTTAGTATACTTACCGTTTGCTCGTATATTTCAGTAATACCCCAGATTTGTCGGTGACATTCCCTGTAAAGAAATTTAAAATAAAGGGTCAAAGGCAAATATTAAAAATTTATAATTTATTCAAAATAGGCTTTTACAAAACACTTTTTTAAGTCATAAGTTACGCCATCGCTTTAACATACACGTATAGTTTACCATACATATACGCAGTAGAGCCATGATTCAGCTATAGCATAGTTGATGCACGTGGGTCGACTCGAACCGGTGACCCTTTTTAATGGATTTGAGGCATTTAATCTAAGTCCTCAGTGGTGACAACGCATCTGCATTTTGATTCTTAAACAAGGATAGATGTAGATGTCTATGGCCACAGCATCCACTTACCATCAGGTGGGCTGTGTTCTCGTTTGTCACCCTTATTCTGTATTAAAAAAAAAGTACACTATTTTCTACTTTACTCCCAACGATAACAATAATTGAAACTTATCAAATATGTACGTAATAAAAAAAGTCTAGGGAAGCTCATCAGCTCTAGTGGACATATACCACGCATTCTTATATTTTAAATAGTATATCTTAATTTATAACCCTTCTTGGTTATATAAAAAGGTATTTGTTTTATTTGCATAACAATAGAACATTATAAAAAAAGCAATTAAAAAACCACACCCCCTCAATACATTTTTTTTACAAAACAATCTTTTTAATATCTACCTCCTTTTACGCCGCAAAACAAAAACAGATTTCAACATCATCATTACACCTCTTCATAAGTCCACTGCTGAACATAGGCATCCCCCAAGGAATGCCACAAAGCACGGTCCTGAGCCACCTGCATCCATTGACTTACTGCATGTCTTACCAGGTCGTCGTCAGTCCATCTAGTGGGAGGACGTCCTACACTTCGCCTGCCGGTACGAGGCTGCCACTCGAGAACCTTTCTTCCCCATCGGTTGCCGGTTCTTCGAGCTATATGGCCGGCCCATTGCCACTTCAGCATACTAATTCTTTGGGCTATGTCGGTTACTCTGGTTCTACTGCGGACATCCTCGTTTTTAAGTCTATCACGCAGAGAAACCCCGAGCATAGCTCTCTCCATAGCTCGCTGAGCGACATTGAGCGTCCGCATACGGCCAGCAGTGAAGGACCACGTCCCAGATCCGTACGTCATCACTGGCAACACGCGCTGGTTGTACAATCTCGTTTTCAGGTATTGAGGTATATCTGACGAGAAGATGTGTCGTAATTTCCCGATCGCTGCCCAGTCGAGTCGAATCCGTCGATTGACCTCTCGGTCGAAGTTGGACTTACCTAGTCGGACTATTTGTCCCAGGTAAACATACTCGTCAACAACTTCGAGCTTAGTGCTCCCAACAACTACCAGCATAGTTGTGACATGGACATTAAACATGATCTTCGTTTTGTCCATGTTCATCTTAACACCTATCGGTTGGGAAACACTATTGAGGTCATTGAGCATAGTGCTTAGGTCCTCCAGCGATTCTGCCATAAGGACTACATAAATCGAAGGTGAGTGATGTACTCGCCATTGATGTTAATACCGTATCCCTTTCAGTCCAGTAGCTAGAAAACGTCTTCCAATCCAGCGGTGAAGAGTTTCGGGGGCATAACGTCACCCTATCTTACACCTCTCTGCAGTTGGATAGGTTTCGTACTCTGGTTCTGTACTCGGATAGCCATCGTAGCCCTACTGTACAAACAAACTTCAACACTTCGATATATCGACAGTACACTTGGCACCGCTGAACCACCACCCAAATTTCGACGGAATCAAACGCTTTCTCATAGTTCACATACGCAAGACAAAGTGGTTTCGATCTTCTGTACAATTTTCCGAAGTGTATGTATGTGGTCTATGGTGCTAAAGCCTTTTCGGAAACCGGCTTGTTCGGGAGGCTGGAAGTCGTCGAGTCTGCGTGCGAGAAGATTCGTAATGACTCTCGAAAACAGCCCGTAGACGCGGCTCAGAAGGGAAATTGGTTTGTAGTTTATCAAGAGGGCGTTGTCGCCTTTCTTGAAGACCGTTTTTAAAGTGATGGTGAGCCATTCTAATCTCGCTCAGACTGACGTCCGGGATATCTTTAATCTTTAATCTTTAATCTTTATTTCCATATTTTCCATATATATATCAGTTAACAATATGTCTATTTATAAACTACATAGGAATATTTCATCTTATAACATGAAAAATAGCATCCATTGCCGAACTAGGCCAAAACCTGTATTTCAGCATATGGCGCCACTCCCCAGACATAATAAACATAGATTATTTATTTAAATTATAGAAAATTTACAAAACTTTGTTCTTTATATTACAGATGTGGTATAAAACAAAAAGTAAAATTGAAATTAAAAAAAAATATATATATATATATATATATATATATATATATTTATATATGTAAAATGTACCTCTTTTGTATATGGTGCTAGTGTACGTATGTATGTGGATGTGTGTGAGTGTGGTGTGTGTGTGTGTGTGTGTGTGTGAGTGTGTGTGTGTGTGTGTATGTGTGAGCGCGTGTAAGAGGGTGTGTACAAGGTGAAGAATACAGTTTAATGAATACCTTAAGTTACCTAACAATAGAAATTCGAGCACTGTCCATAATAACTTAGCTCTGCACTGTCAAGAGATCTTCCGTTTCATCATATCCTAGAGTCAGTAACCAAGATGTTATTTTCTTTTTGCATTGCTTTATATGTAGGGAGTAAACTGGAATAATTTTATTAACTTTGTTATACACAAAAGGACCTAAAGCACAGTAAAATCTCCGAACAAATGAAGTATGAAACTGTTTTAGTTCACAAGGTCTGACTATTCTGGAGTTTATACATTTTTGAGGATCAAAAATCACTTCACTGTGTTGTTTCAAGATTATACCTAAGATAAACAGTTGTCTGACGGTAAGGACTTCACAATTTTCAAAGAGAATTTTGGTTGGGAATAAGAAAGGTCGAAAAGTGCTTACTTTGAGTACTGCACGCTGGGCAATTTCTAAGCACTTAATAGTAGAAGCTGGCGCTCCTCCCCAAGAAGTAATGCAGTACGATATCAGTGATTGGCAAAGTGCAAAGTAAATTTGCTTTATGAGTTTATAATCTGCAGTATGTCTAAGTGTTTTAAATATTATTATTAATTTCCGCACTCTTTTGCTTAATAATTCAATATGCGTTTTAAAATTTAAGTGACAATCTAACATTACCCCTAAGTATTTTATTTCATTAGTACGCTCTAATTTAGGACAGGAACATTTATCTTTATCTACAAAATTGCAACTGTGAGCCACAAGATGAAATTTATCTCCAAGTCCTTTCAATTTCCGAATAGAAAAAGGAATGTATTTTGTTTTATTAGGATTTAGTGTCAAAAGATTTTCACCCAGCCATCTAGAGACACTGTCAAAAGCATCCTGCGCAGCATCAAAAACTTTCTGCCAGGAAATGGCTGAAATTAATAGAACTGTATCATCAGCATAGGAGATCAGATTACCATTTAAAGGTGTAAATGAAGTTAGTTCATTAATGTAAATCAGGAATAGAGTTGGTCCAAGAACGCTGCCCTGTGGAACTCCATAAGATATAGGTGCATATGTGCTAATATATTCTCCAACTGCTGTAGCTTGAACACGATTTGTAAGGTAACTCTTAAAAAGATTCAACTGATTATCTCTTATGCCTATAGACTCAAGCTTATTTAGTAGAATGGGGATCGATACTGTATCAAACGCCTTTGCAATGTCTAGAAATATGGCTAAGCATTTATTATGTTTATCTAAATTCGTAGCAATAAAATTTGTCACTGCATGAACTGCATCTGAAGTAGACTTTGCCTGACGAAAACCAAATTGGTTATCAGAAAGTAACTTACGATTTTCCAAATAACTCACCAGTCTGATATTAATGAGTTTTTCCAAGATCTTAGATATAGCAGGAAGTAATGATATAGGCCTATAATTTGTGATAAGATCTTCATCACCACCTTTATGTATCGGAATAACTATGGACTTTTTTAAATAATTAGGAAAGACCCCAACTTGTAAACAAAGATTAAAAATAAATGTAAGAGGCGAGACTAAGTAATTTCTGAATTTTTTTAGGAATATGTTTGAAATATTATCCCAACCTGCTGCACAGTTATCTTTAAGATTCAGAATTAAACTACTAACTTCAGCAATGTCAGTCTCTAATAAAACAAAAGAATTAATGGAGCCGGAAGCAGGACCCTTAGAAGCGCTAGAAAAATTATTGTTTGGATTTTTCGCTATTGTATCTGCTAAAGTTACACCAACACTAATAAAATACTCATTTATTTTATTGACGGACTTATACGGACAAGACTCATTCTTCAATAAATTCAATAAAGATTTTTTTGTTTTAGCTGTATGTGTTATATTTTTAATTATATGCCATATTTTTTTATTGTTATTTCCAGCTTCTTTTATTTGATCCTTTTCATAAGCTCTTTTTACCTTTTTTAGCAATGTGTTACAAAAATTTCTATAGCGAGTATATGTAATTTTAATTATTTCATTATTTGGATATTTTCTTACTTTATAATGCAGTTTGTCTCTATTTTTAATGCAGCGTAAAAGACCTGGTGTGATCCAAGGCTTTATAATTTTCTTACGTCTTGCTAAAGAAACAGTTTGAGAATTTTTATTTAGAGTGGATATCATTGTTTCCAGGAAATAGGTTAGAGCAAAATCAGGATCAAGTGATTCATAAACAGGAGAAAAATCCATATTCGAGATATCTATTTCAAGTTGATTATAATTTATCTTTGTTATTGTGTGATTTGAGTAACTACGAACTTGTTTCTTATGTAAACATAACATAACCGATTTATGATCAGTAAGATTCGACTGCATTACTAACGCGGTTATTGGATATTTTGTTTTTATAAGAGCATGATCAATACAATATCATCGGAATAGTGTCGGATAAGACTTGCTCTTGGATCGTTACTCACACTTGCGTGTGGCTCCAACGATGACGTATACCGCTGCCCATAGAATCTCTCAATCTCACTCAAAATCTCAGGTGTCCCGGAAACGATGCTGCCACATTCGGTCTTCAGCTTCGACATTTGGCTCTTTCTGGCAGACAGATCTCTGGAAAAGACTTTGGAGCCCTGGTTCTGCTCGATCAATTCTTCAATACGGGCAGTATTAAAGTTGCGTAAGTCCCGCCGCATGCATTTGGAGATCTGTCTGTTCATTTCCCGTCTAACAGCCATGAGATTAAGAGTGTGATCGGATAGTTTTTGTGTTCTTCTGCAGCGGGTGTTGCAAACCTTAGCTCCGACCGCATGGACAGTTTCCACGAGCTTGTTATTCATATCCTCCACTGCAGTGCAATCTTCTAGCCACTGAAAACGGTTTTGTGATTCGAACTAAAAGGTTTCGGGACTTTGGATTAGAGCACGACGGACCGTTGACTTCATTAGACGACACCTCTCAAACTTAAGGTTTAGGTTCAGTGTGCCTCTCACCATTCGGTGATCGTTGCCGGTTTTCACCTTCGCGATCACTGAGACATCACTGAACAGTTGTCGTCTGGTCATCATAATAAAGTAAATCTCATTTTTTGTCGAACCGTCGCGGCTCGACCAGGTCCACTTCTTGTGGGGCCGCTTCTAGAAGAAAGAGTTCATCATAAAGAGTCCCTCTTTCTCCATGAAGTCGGCCAGCTGCTGGCCCCTTGAGTTTCGTTGCCCTAATCCGAATTTCCCTACTTGCAGCCCACCGTTCACTCTTGTGCCTAGTTTTGCGTTGAAGTCTCCCATTAAAACCGTATGGGTTTTGGAGGAATGCATGACTCTAGACATATCTTCACACATTTCCTCCACCTCATCACCTCATCCTCATCGGGATATGCCGAGGTTCGAGCGTAAACCTGTATGACTTTCAGCGAAACCCGTTTGGTGATTCTGAGTATGAATATTTACAGATTTATAGTGTTTAATACAGTTAGTGATTATTTAATTACTGAATGATTGCCACTGTAAAGGCAAATTATGCAAGCTGCATTTGCAAAAGGTGGCAATTCACATAATTACGACAATCATTGCAATAGGGCTAAGACAGTGTCATGAAATTGAAGATATGTGTTTTTAATTTTTTTTTATAGTATAAGGGTGACAAACGAGCACACAGTCCACCTGATGGTAAGTGGTTGCTGCGGCCCATAGACGTCTACATCTATCCTCTATTACAAATCAAAATGTAGATGCGTTGTCACCCGTGAGGACTAAGATGGAATGCCTCATTTCCAGTAAAAAGGGCCTCCGGCCACCTGCACTCACCAAACGAAACGCAGAGGCAAACCTCTACTTCACGCTGGTTTTCTGTGAGGTCGTGGTACCACCCCGGTTCGAGCCGGCCCATCCGTGCGATAGCAAAAGCTGCCGCATGGCTCTACCACTATTAAATTAATGGAAAAGTTGTTTAAATGAGTTTTAATACATGTCTTTGAGCACCAAATAAGAATAAGGTTTTACGTTATGATGTTCTCGTCCGGTGATGTATTTTTGTATGGGTAGGTATCATCTTCTTTTCTATTTCTTCCGTGAAATAGCAGTTCGTGCACTGTTGTGTTCCGGTCAGGTGAGCCAGTATGCGTTGCCAGAGCCAGACAAAGCATCTGTAGCCTTACTTGTTTATAGTTGGCTACAGAGTAGCTTTTACCATCAGATGGACTGATAGATTTTTATATATATATATATATTTATTTAAAAAAAATAAGTTTTTTGGAGCACAATTATCTGTGCAAATCCTCAGTTTTTTGAGATTTTTTTAGTCTCTCGGCAAACTTAATATCCATTTGCTTTTGGAGCCTTACGTGGAAAGCGCGCCATGTAATGCACTTGGAGCACCAGGTACTTGATGGGCGAGTCGCGGCCGACGTGAAATCCAACACCTTTCGGCAATTGGAGACTTGGTGCATCGCGAGCCCACGCATATACTACCTATAGTAAAAAAAGTTTTAGTTAATTATTTCTTGATTTATTTTTCTAATGTACTTTGTTAAATAGCTGACGTAACCATCATAAACTTTTATTATATTAAACCTAAGTTAAGTCTTGCGATACCAACCACGAATAACGGATTCTCATAGATGAAAAACAATTAATTGGATACCTGTCTGCCCAGTGTTATGCGAGGCACAGTGCAAGCAAATTTACCCCAAAAAATTCTATGTATATACTACACTAGATGGGCACTACAGCATACAATGCGCACAAGTTACGGTCAATTCTCCGCAGCTTATATAGTCGACAGCGAGCGGCTGAAGACTTCTTTGTTTTGTAAAGCGCGAACGTTGCTTTCGACAATCTAACTCTAATTTTATTTAATGTGAATAGGAAAACGCTGTCATAACTATATTGCGTAATTTCCTAAAACAGTAACTGACGTAAATGAAAATACAACTGCCTGGCATATGTACCACGCCAGCTATCCTAAATTTAAATTGTAAAAGAATATAGTGTTAATTATACTATATTCTTCACTTAATGACATTCCACTTTTTTTCCATTAGCATTCATCCATTAAAACCTATAAAAGTTCATTGCTGAATATAGGCCTCCCCCATCTATTGCCACATAAGGGGATTTTACCATTGTTGCCACACTTGGCAGACACGCCGGCAACCTCAGTCTTTTTACCGCGGTTATGATCCGGAAGGCGCTACTGCCGTTCTCCTATTTCTCAGTTTTCAGTTGTTGTGGATACTCTTGCACCGCCGCTAAACGTTTTTATACAACCTTAAATGGAAAATCAGTCAAATTTTAAGACACTACTTAATTACCATTAGCCTAAAAGTTCACTGCTGGATATGAGACTCTTCCATGGTAGGGAAGATATGTCTTATTCGTCTCAAGTAGATTGACGATCGCTTTACCAGACATCACACACCTTTGATGCTGGTGCCCGTCGCCAGGTATGTTAAGTCTGACGAAGACATTGACGACGACGAACGTGGTTATATCCTAGATGGTATATAACCATGTTCGTCGTCTTCAAGAAGCCATAAGATATTTTTGGCATTTCCTATCGTCGTCTTTTACGCTCACAGGAAGTAATGGAGTGATGAACACTCTTACACTGCCGCCTTTCGGCTTTTGGACACTACTATGAATATAGTTATCAGTTCTCACGAAAACTTGACAGTTGACAGACAATTACCAACTGAAGTTGTCGCTTTCAGGTTTCGGTGTGCGCGCACATCGTAACAACTTCTTGGTGTCGTTTTTAGGTGTCGGTGTGTGCGCGCATAGTAAAAAATTCACTGTAATCATTTTTCTCAAACGCGTCAAAAAATGTATAACTTAATTAAAAAAATTATGGATTTTTTTTTGTTTAAATTGATATTATGGATGATTACTTGTTTTCACTTTACCACTAAAAGTAGCAAATAATTCAGTTTACATTATATAGTTATTTATTATAATACAATGTCCTCCAGACTGAATTTTGGTGGAGCGGTAAGTCACAGTGTAGCAATTAGCGAAGGAGAGATTATAGATTATAATGTACTGGTGTGTGCGCAAGCTCAGGTGCACTCTCCATTCATCACGACCGAGGAGAGATCAGAGAGTTTTACGCGTTTTCAGAGGCACGGAAGTATAATAGCTCCAAATTCCTGACTCTGGGCTGCTACTGAGAATTAATTGACAGAAAAACCCAAAAAATAATTTTTGGCCCGAACCGAGCTTTAAAACCTATGACCTCATGATCAGCACACGCGCTTACGTTCACTGGACCGACGAGACAGTCTTTATTAATGGTACTTAAAATAGATATTATTCAGCTTTATAAAGGTCACTGCTCCTGCACGGCTAGCATGGGCTGGGAACAAAAATTTATACCCCGATTATATCCACTGACAAGAGATCAAATTATTTTGTCATTATACCAAAGCACGGCAACGGGGAGAAGTATATATCCCCGTTTAACATAACGAGTAGACGTATATCACCCGTCCGTAGTATGGAGCCAAATGAAAGGTAAAAAAATTATGCTTTTTTGACATTTGAAAAGGACAATTTTATGCTAGTTCATTGTACGTGGGTTTAAGTTTATATTCATACAAAAAATCTATATAAGTCTAAGTCTATTTCCCATTTTATCTACTGTGGATATTATATCCAACGGTGTGACCATGCTCGAAGTGTGGATAAAGCTAAGCGAGGGGATAAACATTTTCTTCTTTCCCCAGGGATAAAATTGTCTCCTGCCAATGCTAACCCTGCAGAATGCGCAAGCTGGCAGAATTTCTAAGAGTTCCGTTCCCTGTTCCAGCAGCCAAGGCAGTGATCGTGGTCTATTCTCATACTGCTAATGATGCTTACTTTCAACTACATATCTGTAGGGTTTGATTTGGGCAGTTTGGGATGATTGCCAGAGTAGTCTAGAGTTCCCCACGTTTGTGTGATATAGTTACACCTCTGTATGATATATCAAATTTATAAATTTATTAAGATTTTTATTTTAATAATGATTTCTTTATATCTTCAAATAAACTAATATATTATAATGTTAAAAACTATTATTACCTGAGAGCCAGATCCACAGGGGCTAGCAGGAGGATAAATATAATCTATTTCACTGCTTTGCATTTCGCCACAGTCCCTGAAATTAAGGAATACGTTATTTAAACAGGAAGTTCGAGAACATTCTTAGAGAGAATACCTAGAGGTTTCCCGTCCTTTATATTTAAACATTAAAATATAAATAAATATATAAAAAATACTGTCCCATGTTGGTCTGGGACCTATAGATCCCATGTTTATAAGGCACTTATAACAAATAATAATATGCCACCTGTGTTACTAGCCTAGCATGTCGAAAGAGGTGGCTAAGAGCATTTCAGGGGAAACCCTTGCGGAAATGTATAGTTTATGAGTAATAATTTTTTTTTGTAAAATCATAACCTCACTTTTTTACACTGGAATATTGACTCAAAGTTACTTCTGCAACGGCTTCGGCGCTGCGGGAAGTGCAGTTCCTTCGCCCTTGCGTAGCATATCACAAGCACCCATGCTCACTATACAGTGCCTGCGGTTTGCTACGGTGGGCGGGAGCTGCTCTCCCTCCGCGCCTACGGCTTTACAAAAACACTCTAGGGGTAGGGCAGACTACGTGGAGTCGGGGCGTTCTGATTCGGTTTAAATTCAGATTCGACCTATCTTATCTATGAAGGCATAATTAATTCAAAACGCATTTCCGATATCCAAAAATAGTGTAAAAGGTTTCAAGCTTAACTCTGACAAATCTCCTAAACTGAAAACATAATTAGAATCAAGTAGGTACTCGACGTCTACTTTATAATACTAGACCAAATTCATATATTTGCATTTTGTTATAAGCAATTTTTTGTGAAATTTATTTTTATCGTAATTAATTCAAAAAACATTTCCGACATCCAAAAATAGTGTAAAAGGTTCAAGCTTAACCCTAACTAGCCTCCTAAGCTGAAAATATAATTAAAATCAAGTACCGGACGTGTATAGGCAACAAATAATAAACCTAGCAAGCTAACAGCATAGCAAAGTGGCGAAGCAATCAGCTTTGTAGCGGTTTCTAACGGTTGCCGTTGAGCAATCAGTTTCAAAATAGGAGGTTCAGATGCCTGGGTGATCAGTAATCGATTGCTGAAAACAGAATTTGAAAATTCAAAACCGTTCTCGAGATAATCGTGGGACAGACGGACAAACGGACAGACATCGTGAAATCAATAAGTGACTTCGCAAGCTTCGCCACTTAATAAGTGCTAATTACAGCTATGTTTTCAACTCATGTGTCTCATATTAACATAAGTGTACGCAAACACAGATGCACTCCCTCCAGTTTAGGAAACCTACTCTTTGAATTAAAACTAGGGCTAGACTAGATGCATCGTCAGACAGGAGGATAATCGCAACACGCCCAAACCAGAAAACCAACAACTTGTGTTTTTTGCACATATTGGCTCTGGCTAATACTACAACCCAAGACGCGGTGTAGTAGTTAGGTGTCTTATATTTACAAATTATAGTGTTAAAACGTGTAAGAAAAGAATGTTAATTTATATTCTGTACCCCTGACTTGTTAGCTCAGGTGGGATTTCCTAGTCAGGGGTGCAGAATGTAAAAAGAGATAAATATGGTGGTATTGCGATACGTCGTACTCATACCATCGGCGCGGCGGCAGAAACGTGGTCGGCGGCGTAGCGATAAACCCCGTGGCTCTGCTTTTAGATGGTAAAGATGCAACACCATGTTGTTTTAGTCGGGGCGTCGGGTATGCGTAGACAATTTTCCCAAGCAAAAAAGTTGGATGTGTTGACGATGCGGTAAATGAGAAAATTTATTAATAACTAGAGATCCGTCCCGGTTTCGAACGGGTGACTTCAGCATCTCGACAACAGCACCACCTACCGGGTCCAATTGAAATGTGTTTAAACCCTCCAGGGACGCACTCAAACACAATTACGTTTTCGAGTTATTACGAGACTAACGAACAGCAATTGATTTTCATAATAGAGAGATGTAGACAATTTAACAATTCTTTAATCAATTTATCCTATATCATATAAATAATATTTTTGTCCATAATTCGAGTATTCGACCAATAACAATATTTAACTAGTACGTCTTTTCTACCGACTTCAAAAAGGAGCCGGTACTCAATTCGACTGTATGTTTTTTTATGTGTGTTATGTTACCTCATAATTTCTTACTGGGTGAAACGATTTCGATGATTCTTTTTTTATTTTAAAGCTGGTGCTTCACATGTGGTCCCATATAAATTGATCAAGGTCTGACCAATAGTTTTTGAGTTATTCTTAATAATTTACGTTGAAGTCGGTTGTACAAAATTTTTAATTTTAAATTATCATTATTTTAGAAACACAATTCTATTAAAAAGTTATATTAAAGTAAATGCAGGAACGCCATTCAATTTATATAATACGCAGGTTCGTGAGTTATTCTAATTATAGCCCGCGTCGAGCAATGGTAGGTACCGACAATGTGAAAATGAACGAACAAGATGGATTGCAACGCTTGGGCGTCACAGATTTTCACCGAGCTTGTCTATCGATCTGTTATATGACCTTTAATGCAGTGTTCTGACGTCAATCGTGAACCCTTTCTTATTATAGAATACATTTTACCTACCGACTGTATGTTTTTTTATGTGTGTTACCTCATAACTTCTTACTGGGTAAAACGATTTCGATGATTCTTTTTTTATTTTAAAGCTGGTGCTTCACATGTGGTCCCATATAAATTGATCAAGGTCTGACCAATAGTTTTTGAGTTATACTTAATAATTTACATTGAAGTCGGTTGTACAAAATTTTTAATTTTAAATTATCATTATTTTAGAAACACAATTCTATTGATAAAGTTATATTAAAGTAAATGCAGGAACGCCATTCAATTTATATAATACGCAGGTGCAACTGACAATGTGAAAATGAACGAACAAGATGGATTGCAACGCTTGCGCGTCACAGATTTTCACCGAGCTTTTCTATCGATCTGTTATATGACCTTTAATGCAGTGTTCTGACGTCAATCGTGAACCCTTTCTAATTATAGAATACATTTTACCTATAGAAATGCGATCAGTATTATTGGGTGAATTCAATTACTGGAAATGATTTTTAAGGAATAATTATTATGAAGTGATTTAACTTTTATTTTATTTAAAAAGGGATCACGTAAACAACTTACGTTCCATTTAAGGACTTGTAACGAGGGCACAATAGTCCGTATAGAAATATATACAAAGACTGAATCAATAAGCATAATCGACGACTCCGTGGCGCAGTGATTCGCAGCTTTAATTGCCGCGGGTTCAAATCCCGCACGGAACAAGTATTTGTATGACCTACAAATAATCGTTCTGGGGTCTGTATGTTTGTCGTTGTGCAATTTATGTATGTAAGCTGCCCCTATGTAACAGGAGAAAATCCTAGTATCGAGGTAACGTTTTCGCCAAAAACATACGTTAACATACGTTAGTCAATAAAATACCGCGCTTTGCTTCAATTTCACATAACGATAAAAAAAATTGTAAAATGTACGTATTTACACATATTTCGATCATAGTCTGTAGTCTCTGCCTACCCCTCTGGATAACAGCCGTGAGAGTTTACATATGTACGTATGTATTACTATTATGTCTTCAATTTATTACCAAGCTGTTTACCTTTACCCAAACAATTACTCTTGCGATAATCATAGTGAGATATAAATTGATGAAGTGTTCTAGCAAAGATGTAGGAGCGAAGAGGGTCGAAAGTGAAGTCTGATAACTATATTAAGAACAGCTCAAATAAGTCCACCCTGATAACTACTACCCTCTTATTTTATTTCTGTCGCCAACCAACAGCAGAGTCGTTTTTGTCAGATTTTGGTTACAACCATACAGTTATAACCATATAGTAGTTACTTGTCACCAGATTTTTTTTATAGGATAGGGTGACAAACGAGCACACAGTCCACCTGATGGCAAGTGGTTGCTGTGACCTATACACATCTACATTTATCCTCAATAAAGAATCAAAATGCAGATGCGTCGTCACCCGTGAGGACTAAGATGGAATGCCTCTTTTCCAGTAAAATGGTTCTCCGGTTCTCAACACTCACCATACCGAAACACACCAGTTTCAAGCTGCCATTTTACGCTGGCTGGAGAGCGTGGTCCTTCCCCGGTCGAGCCGACCCATTCGTGCTACAACTATACTACTAATATAGCTGCAGCATGGCTCTACCACGTACAGAACCACGTCATTATATTAACATTACAGGTCATTATATTAATTTTTTATATGAAATTATTTTGAAAATTAGTAACACAAGTCACAAGTCCACTGTTGAACATAGGCCTACCCCAAGGAATGCCACAAAGCACGGTACTGATCCTTTGTGTCACACAAGCAGTTGTGTAGAAATTATTATTTTTTGAAGGTTTTAAAAGTTATTTTTTTACCCTTTGCAGTGGACTAAAGAAATTCACAACATCAAAACAAGAACTTTAATGTCGTATAAATAGTTACATTAAAATCTTCACCCCTATTTTGCCACCCTTATGGGTGGAATTTCTCTCTAAATTTATATGTAGCCACCTTTGAAGTATAATCAATTTAATAAAAAAAAGAATCATTATCGGTTCACATTTGACGGAGATATCGAGTTGACATACCTACAAAATAACTTACAGCTGAACTGAGAACTTCCTCCTCTTTTGAAGTCGGCTAAAAACACATCATATGAACATAGACCTTTATAACTAGACATCGGATTTAATGCATTTGCATATTTGTATATGCATATAACTCTCTAATTACGGTGTTAACGCTTATTTTAGCCTTTCTTCCCAATCGTGCATATTTCGTTTAGTAGCGGGAGGTACGTATAGGGACCTAGGTGACGAAGACGTGTAGTGCGCCAGCGCAGTGGCTGACTAAACTGGCTGGCCAAATTTTAAATTTTGTCCAATGACGTCACTTGATGTGGAGAAGTCGTTTTCGGTGTACAAATTGATATTGGATGACAAACATCACAAATTTTCGCTCGAAAATTTGGAACAATACTTAATTGTATATTGTCATAAAAACTATGCATAACTTTAAGAACATTTTGCTATCCTTGTACCGTCTTTAATTAAAATAAACAAAAATAAAAATGGTTTTTTGATTTAAACAGTTTTAAGTGCATATTTCGGCCCTTTTTAGTGCATATTTGCATGCATATTTTGGCACTTTGTTAGTGCATATAGTCCGATGTCTGTTTATAACTTACCCTTATTTGAAGGTATTAACATGTTGATATTTTCAGTAAAAAACACTTACCAAACCGTTCCATTAGACCCAGGATCAGAACATCCATAGATAAGCATATGATGAGCCGTGTTCATTGAAGCTTTTGGCACAAATCCAACTGAAAATGAACAACACTTATTATAGTATTGTATCCATCGCTCACTAATAAAAAAACTAGATACACAATCAGTGACAAAAATGTCCGTACCGAATGAGCGCCCACTCGAACATTTGGGTGCGCTTTTAATTTGTACGTAACTTTGTGAATACAACTTTAGAAAATGCATTTAAGGTTGAATTTACATTAATGTATATTTCTTTCAACTGGAACTTTTGCAAGGGATTGTGTATCTAGTTTTTTATTAGTGATCGATGACCTTATCCTAAAAAGTTGCTACTGTACCGTACATAATCAAAAACGAAATTATACAGAAATCATTAAAATAAAATACTAGAATAACGTTACGAAATATTTCAAGCAGTTGTCGGGTTGTTGTTGTTTCACCTGATGGTAAGTGGATGCTGTGGCCCATAGACATCTAGATATATCCTCGATTACGAATCAAAATACAGATGCGTTGTCACCCGTGAGGACCAGATGGCATGCCTCGTTTCCAGTAAAAAAGGGTCTCCGGTTCCCTACTCTCACCATACGAAAGACAGCAGCTTTGAGCTGTTATTTTACGCTGGTATACTGTAAGAGCGTGGTTCTTCCCAGAAGAACCGAATCGTTTGTGCTACTAAGTCAGTACTAATACAAAAAAATCATCATCATCATCAGGGCCATTCACAAGTCCACTACTGAACATAGCCAAGGTATTCCTTGTGGCATTGCTTCCCCAAGAAATGCCACAAAACACGGTCATTAGCCACCTGCATCCCTCAACTTCCTGCAAGGAATTAAAGCTTCAACTACAGAAAGTATTAAATTATATGGAATTATGTGATACTTTTAAGTCGACGGTATCTAATTGGCAAAGATTGCGCGTATCTTATCTTTTCTTACAAATAAATAAAATTTGAAGTGTCCGTTTGTAATGCGGTACTTATAACAAAAATACAATTTTTAAAATTTTTGTCGATGCAATGACTTTTTTTCTCTTTATTTCTTTTAAAAAAAAAAACGTTACCCCCATTAGGATTTTTTTTATTTGTAGGCCATACAAATACGTGTTCCGTGCGGGATTCGAACCCGCGGCCTGCAGCGCAACAACTCATTGCCAAGTCACTGCGCCACGGAGCCGTCTGATAAATGATGATTGTTGATTATAATAATGAAAAAACAACATTCTCATTTACTTATATTTGAAATCAAAACATTAAACTGATAACAAAAATTGTTATTCAAAACACTTGAAGAAATTATTACAACAAACAAACAATATAAAAACTGTAAACATACCCATATAATAGTTTGTGGTCGGTGAAATGCGGATAGGTGTACAAAGGTAGAGCTCATCCTGAAACGAAAAAGATATATTAAACTTAAAATAGTTAAAACATTCATTCGTATTATAATGGGCCGAGTGCAAGTTTTACTGGTTTTACAATTTTCGTAAGATTCCCAAGATAGGTAGGTGTTTCCTACTATGCAATAAAGTTATCTTAAGAATCTGCCTGTTGTCACAAAGCAAAGTAATTTACTGATGTTAAAAACAATTAACATGCATTAATATATCATACAATTAATATGCATTAATATATTTTGTCGCACGCTTACGCGAGGAAACAGGGTCCAATCCCCGCCAGCAATAATGAAATTGTTGGTTGTAATTTAAAGTGACGCCACGTGCCACGTGCCTGGCGGTGAAGGATTTTTTTTATACGATAGGATGACAAAAGAGCACACAGTCCACCTGATGGTAAGTGGTTGCTCTGGGCCATAGACATCTGCATTCATCCTCGTTTACGAATGAGGACTAAGATGGAATGCCTCTTTTCCAGTAAAAAGGGTCTCCGGTTCTCTACACTCACCATTAGAAACACAGCAGTGTTAAGCTGCTATTTTACGCTGGTATTCTGTGAGATCGTGGTCCTTCCCCGGTCGAGCCGACCCATTCGTGCTACAACTATACTACTAATATAGCTGCAGCATGGCTCTACCACGTATAAAATTGCGTAAGGAATGTCCGGGAAACTAAAAATATCCTTCATATTAGTCAAGTAGGGAGCGAACGCTTTACCCGCTCCAAAACTCACAGAAAACGTTACATTACGCATACTTTATTATATATATTTTGCAATGTAGGTACTTCCCCGTCCCCGCGAGATTACGTATGATTTACCCTTTGACATTTTAATCAATGCAAATAAATAAAATTGAAGTGAAGAGCCTAGGGCTTTATTTGCATGCCATTAGGATATTAACAACCGTTTTTAAAAAAATTGTCTGTCTGTCTGTCCGGGCTCATCTTTGGAATAGCTGAACGAATTGTAACGAAACTTTACAAACAGATAGAGAGCAATGCTATGAGTGATTTAGGCTACGTATTATTCAAAATGCTTGTAGATTTTTTTCGAGAAAATAAAAAAATTATAAAATAGATGGTCTTTGATATTATATAAATAACGTCACATTAATTGATTCTACCCAAAGGCGGAGCCTCGGCGTGTTGCTAGTTGTTAATCATACTCCATAATTACCTTTAGTTAACTTTTAACGCCGTAATAAGTGCCGTGGTAGCTCAGAAGAGCCTTGGTAGTTCAGACGGTTAGCGCTCGCTATAAGTTTGCAACCCGGGCTCGATCCCCGCCGTCACCAATGAAATTGTTAATTGCCAATTTTAAGAGCTGATTCACCACGTGCTCGGCGGTGAAGGAAAACATCGTGAGGAAACCTGTATGTCTGAGAAATAAGAAAATAAAAATATTTCGAGGACATGTGAAGTTCGCCAAGCGCGGCGGACATTTCCTTGCCCTAAAACTTAAACCCTCTCAGAAATGAGAAGAAGCCTGTCCCTAGCAGTGAGACGTATATAGGCTGTAACTTTAACTTTTAACGCAATTACCATCAAGATTGCTGCTTTATTTATAGAATAGTAACTACGACAATTCTATTTAGACCGGATAACGGCATATTAGAGAATATTTTTAAGTTATATCAGCATGTGCGTATAGTAAAACTCAGCAAAATAACCACAGTATAATACAACAAAAGGACCACGCTAAATAGGTTTCATTTAAAATTTTAGTTACCGTGTAGTGGCGGTGTAAGAATATCCACTACCCCATATCATCCCGTGGGTGTTATAAGTGGCGACAGAGGGAAACAAAATCAGGAGATGGGCACCAGTCTTCCTAATAACGACTAAAAATAAAAAAAACTGCGGTTGCCAACCCGCTTGCCAAGCATGAGGCAATCTATGGGAAGACCTGTGTTCAGCAGTGGACTGTAATAGGCTATAACGGTAAAGGTAAAATTTTAGACTGGTGTAGAGCAGCAGGCTATAGGGTTTCTAAGGTCTGCGCTCTTATACAGCGTAGTGAGTATGGTAAAACCATTAAAATTCAAAGGCTAGCAATTTAAAATATTATCGCGTGAAGAATTATTCACTCCGTTCCCTTCCGCGGCCGCACGTAAAGGCATGATTAAATTAGGTATGCAAAAGAGCTTCCTCTTGGACCACCGCTGGTTGCAGCTTAGAAAAATTCATACTACAACAAAATTCCGATGTGCAAGAGTCGTAAAAGAAACTTCCCAATACGTTTTTGAGCCGGTTCGATGACGGAGTAGAATCTAAAGTACCTAATAGACGTTTTACACTATTGCTGATAGGTGACCTTTTTTTACAATAAATGGCACATATGCCCATAACAATATCATGTTGACGAAACCCGGACGTCGGATAAGCAAAGACGTATTATACTTTAAAAACATCTTAGCGGATAAGTAAAACATTTCGTACATCTATAAAAATAAATAAAATTGAAGTGTCTGTTTGTAAAGTCAAAATAAAGCTTTTTACTAAACGCATATGCTAGTATATAATCACAAAAACACAATTTTTAAAGTTTTTGTTTGTTTTGTGTGTTTGTTCCGGCTAATCTGGACCGAAATGGCTGGACCGATATTGACGGGACTGTTACTGGCAGATAGCTGATGTTGTAAAGAGTAACTGAGGCTACTTTTATTTTAGAAAAAGAATTAGGGTTCCGCGCAAAAAAATATACACGCTAAATTACACGCGGGCGAAGTCGCGGGGAACAGCTAGTAAAGTATAAATTTCGACAACAACGTCTATTACAACAGGAAGGAGAATTTGCCCTGTAGTGGAGGAACATTTATTTAAGGAAGTTCTTTTAGAGTGATCATACTATTACCATATCAGCTTATGAAAAGCACACTGCTGAACATAGGCCTCTCCCATAGATTACACATAGAAGGGATATTTGCTATAGTTGCCACGTATGGCAAGCGAGTTGGCAACCGCAGTATTTTTTAATAATCTTGAGTTGTTATTAGGCAGATGCTGCTTGCCCATCTCCTATTTCAGTCTCCCTCTGTCACCTCTTACGGCACCCATGGGATGAAATGGAGTAGCGGATATTCTATCACCGCTACTATACTGTGATCAATAACATTAAGTACCTAAATAAATAATTTATAATTAAAAATTTTGTACAACCGACTTCTATATAAATTATTAAGAATAACTCAAAAGCTATTGCTCAGACCTTGATCAAATTTATATGGGACCATATGAGAAGCACCAGCTTTCAAATAAAAAAAGAATCATCAAAATCGGTTCACCCAGTCCCAGTAAAAATTTATGAGGTAACACACATAAAAAAACATACAGTCGAATTGAGTACCGTCTCCTTTTTGAAGTCGGTAGAAAAAGTAGTTAATAATATGTAATAAATAGGAATGACTCTTCCTCTAAGTTGTGAAGAAATTCATGATTATTCAGCAACATTGTACAAAAACTTGCTTGCAATGATGTTAAATTTGTTGTTGTATATCTGTAGTAGTATACGTTACTTGTATACTGGCTACCCGTATATAATTCTTATCTTTCCATACATTTCATCGATTTTTTGATATGCGGGACTGTTGCGAATCACGCATTCAACCACTACTTTAGAGACTTCTTTAAAATGCTGAATGTCAACATTTTTGAACATTAATTATAAATGTTGATACTTAAATTTAATTGTAATTAATCAACAACAACAACAAACAAGAATTAAACTGTAGTTGAAAACAAATCACACGTATTTATAAGGGTAATAAAAAAGTTAGATGTATTACTTAAATATAAATACATAATATCGAACAGAGCAAGTGAACCGACAAATTAAAATAGACGTAATTACATCAATCATATTTTACAGAAATATAAGTATATATATATATATATATATATATATATATATATATATATATATATATATATATATATATAATTATAATGCCCAACTTAAAATTGCACACCTTCACACAAAAGCATAACCTCCTGTCTCTACATTCACTCTAAGATATAAAAACGCAGTCCGTTAATTACGTCAGGCAATTTAGGCGATTTTCCCACCCTCCCCTCCACCTGCCCGGCTAGCATGGGCGGGCGACAAAAATTTTATCTCCCGATTATATCCACTGACAAGAGATAAAATTACATAACGAGTAGACATATATCCCCCGTCCCTAGCATGGTGCCAAATGAAAGATAAAAATTATGCTTATTTGACATTTGAAAGGGACAATTTTATCCTAGGTCATTGGACGTGGGTTGAAGTTTATATTCATACAAAAAAATCTATCGAAGTCGTAAGTCTACCTCCCAATTTATCTACTGTGGATATTATATCCACCGGTATGCCCATGCTCTAAGGGTGGATAAAACTAAGCGAGGGGATAAACATTTTCTCCTTTCCCCGGGGATAAAATTGTCTCCTTCCCATGCTAGCCCAGCTGGTGAGACGTCGTGAGATATGGTTCGAATCCCTCACCCCTCCCCCCAAATCTCACGTAAGATTTTTTTAAATGCGTATTTTTTGTGTAAATACGTACACTGTGCTTAATTGCGTTGGGTTTGATTAAAAAAAAATAAGTTGCTTAATTATTTTTATATAATTTGTGGAGTTCCCATAACCGCGATAAATATTATTGTGTAGGATTTAGACATATTTTAATTAATAAATTTACACTGTTTCTTATGGAAAAAAATTACGTGAGATTTGCTGAGACCCTCCCTCTCCCCCACGTGAGATTGAGTGAGGTTTATTTCACTCAATCTCAATCTCATCCAATATAGGCACACAATCTGACATAAAACTGAAGAAACTAAGAAACGTGTTATGAAAAGTTCTGTTTAAAAGGCTTATAAGTGAAATAATTTAAAATTATGAATTAAAACTTTGAATGTAACATGTTTTTTTACATCTGATTTTGAGCAAGTTCAAAATGTCAAGTCACTACCTCTTCAGGAAGTTAGTCTAAACTCAATTACTACATTCGACC